TATCATCATATTGCTAAAACAATAGTTTAACCACGAAAAAAAAATATACGAAATAATGTATTTTCCTATTTTTACCTTTATGACATTGACATTGCGTGAAATATCATCAGGTTATCCTACTTTGAGAACATACATCACTACATTTAATTACCACAGTCGCCCTTCTGATATTTTTAGTTGATGCTCTAATGCAAACTATATCCAAAAACACAATATGTTTTGGTTTTACATATTGTATCACCTATAAAATTGGTCTCATGCAATATATTGAAACAAAACTCTCAGAAATTCAGTCCATCAACATATATAACCTTAAGCAAAGAAACTCACAGTGTCAGATGAAGTGATAACTATTTTAAAATTCTCAGAAAATGAACAACGCTAGGAAGCCATTCGATTACTCCACAGTTTGGAACCTTTTCACTGGCGGCCCGTGAAAATGAGCAGGCACTCCGAGAAGTTCTCAATGTCCTTAATCACAGATTTTATATATAAAAGAACGAAAGTACACAAATGTTTTCAAAATTTTAAACCAGTATGGTTTTACTTCTCGGTTGAAGTGTTTTAGTATGTCCTTAGCATCCAGCCAAATCAGGATGTCAAGCAGTGGATTTGTGGAAAAAATCTCCACTATACAACAATCTGAGATTTCATTAAATAAATAATTTCATGGATATCATTTCTTCTATGATTTGTTATGGACGGGTTTCAAAAATCATTTTTTGCCTTTTTAAAAAACTGTATCATAAATATGATATTTTGGTAGATGAATAAAGTCATCATTTTCTTGCAATCGTTTTTTTCATGAATATGTTTTTTTCGAAAATGCATATTAATTTTGTCGCAAAGTTTTACAACGAATTGATCAATCCTAAATTGTAACAAGAAATGCAAAGTTTCTCTCGTAGCACATAATTACATCTGCTAACGACTTCACCCTGAATCACTGGACAACACATTTTGTAATATGCATGGGCCGGGTATTCATCAGCAATCTTATGCACATTATTTCACTTAACATATCTAGTTTCATACTCACTTCGTTAGCTTTACAAACGTAGCTTAGGGAAAGAAACAACCTCGTCATGTCATGGTTTTTCGAACAACAGAAAAGTAATTCATAATTACATCTCATCACCTCAGCAATTCTTGGTTTAGTTTCAAGAGTTTTAAATTAGTTCTTTTACAAAACATTTCAAACGAAAAAATATGAAAACAAGTAAAAGTCCCAATCTCTTTTTATTTTCTACAACTTCTAATTAATCAATGAATTCCACTTTTTTTCAAAAAAAATAAAGATTGAACTAATTCACTATACACAACAAGAAAAAGGTTGCATCATCGAATGTTTTCTTTTCTAAAGTAATACCATTACCAACCCTAAATTAGTTAACCTTTTAAGAATAGCCTTTTTTAATTATATAAGTTTCACATGAAGAAAATAACATGCATTGATAAAGAAAAAGAAAAATGACGTAAGGGAAAGCATGTAAATAGGACGGTGACCTTCGAAAACCTAAGTACATGAACCGTGGCGAATTGTTTCGTACTAAAGCGTGATGGCTTCACTATAAAAGAAATCCACTTTTCATGGTTAGCTTTGATGCTCTTTATTTCCAGTTCTATATTCCATCACTTTATAACGTGTCATGAATTATATACTATGTTGTTATAAAAGTTGTATTTATTTCCCAAATTACTTTATCATAGTCTACTTTCGTCGTATCCATAATATATTTTTCTGATAATGGTCTTCGGCACCAATATAAAATATTTGGGTTTCTGAAAATTAAATAGTGACATGAAGCAAAACAAATAAAAAATAGATTGATTTGATTATACACTGTATAAAATCAAATGTTGAATTTTACTAAAACATTAATTACTAGTATTTGTTTTTGCTAAAAAAGTAATTACCAGTATACAATTGTATCCCATATAACTTGAGTTTTTCTAGCATTGTACTGATGGCATAACATGTACGTAGTGTCTGTGGTGAGTATCTTTATGGGAAAAGAAGATTTTCATACCCGTACTATCTGCACCGTTGATTTTTATATCTGGACAATTTCGTAGGGTATTTTACAACCTAAACTTCAATAAAATTTGAATCTCATACCTATACTTGATACAACGTGCAAAAATCGGAGTCAATCTAACGGGTGTTAGTCAACTCCGTTACGGTGCTGAGTCATCGTACACGTGTACGCTGACGTGTATCAAAACGATGTCGTTTTCATACCCGTACTGTCTGCGCCGTGGATTTTCAGACCTGGATAATTTTGTAGGGTATTTTATAGGGTATTTTAGGTTGTAAAATACCCTAGGGTGTGATAAATTGAGGAGACGAGGATTATTAATGTTTAGAAAGAAAATTAGAAATTCTATCATTCTAAAATAATTTACACTCACGAAATTGAGCAACAAATTAGTTGACTTTATCTTTCAATGTCCTTGATATATATATGTCAGTGTGTATACTCTATAAAAAGATGCAAATCTACTACATATATTAATATGCACAACAAACAAAGTATTCCAAAGAAATACATGATGACCAACTATTAGATCTAACTACAGACAATACGTGCGATTATTATAAATGAATCCACAAACAATTCCACTTTCATAACATGCAACTATTCTTACAATACGTGCGATTGACAGGTTTTACTCTTACACTCAGAAACCACAACGGACAGTTATGCTTATAATATTCTGGAACGTCCTACTAATCTTACACTATTAATCTTCAAAAAGTGAACTATCTGATAATCTAACCGTAGACCTAGAATAAAAAAACTTTTAAATATTTGACACCTTTTTTAAATATAGTCTTCTTCTTTTTTTTCTCTTTTCTTTTTTTCTGTTTTTAATCCAATAGGTTTTAGCTTTAACTTTTTGTAGAGTTTGTCGATTAATGATATAAAGAACTTGAATTTAAATAAGGAAATAGTTATCTAACTATATATATATCCTACCTAGATTCTTAATAATGCGTCGATCATACATATTGAGTTTTATCTTTTATATATATATATATATATATATATATATATATATATATATGCGCGTCATTTCTTGTCATTAACAACGATATAAAGAAGTGAATCTACAATGTGGTATCAAATTGGTTGTCCCATGGAAGGCTCAAGGGTCGATAGGAATACCTAGAATATACACATGCATGTCAGCATGTGCCAATTAATTGAATCTTAATAATTTAATTATAATTGCTTCTTCTTCTTCTTCCTTTTTTGTCAAAGTTCATTACACTTATTATTCTTTTCGAGTGTATCACACCTATGCATGATACGATGTACAAATGAAAAAGGGTTATGGTATTAGTGGTCAAAGCGATGACATCCATCGACATCATGGATTCTTTAGAAATTGATTCGACATCCACGGTGATCCTATCTCTCTTTAAGAAGCTCATCCATCCGCAAACACAATGCTCGACAGATTTTGTCTTTTGACGCATGATCTTGTCCAGCCAC